AGAATCATTTCCAAGGATACAAAAGCTTTTTGATAAATACCTATTCTGAAATTTACATACTCAGCAGACACTTCAAGTTCTTTATAGTGTTCACCAATCACTTTGAAATTTAATTCAAAATGCAAGGTTAGGCACAGTGAAATAAATTTCCTCAATTGTAACCGTCATCCCTCAAGGTTATTTCCATTTCCATATGATACATGTTTTAGGATCAAAACAGGACTTTCATTTTCATACTAATTCCTAAAATAAGCTATACTTGTATTCTAAAAAGATGAATGCCAATGGAAAAAGTCAATAGCAGTGTTTACCCAATAAATAGTATTGTTTACTCTGACATACAACTCTAATTTTTTTCCAAACAAAAACCTTCAGATTTATCTAGTTGCGAATGCGGCAGCCAATTGCACACAGCAATGTCCCACAAACAGTCATATGGATTGAAAATGACCAATTTATTATTGTTTTTTTTTGGAAGGATTATTATTAGGCGTGTGGAGTAAGGAAACTTGCCCAAGGTTTTGCCCTGCCTGGAATTGAACTCAGGTCTCTCACTTGCAAAGCGAGTGCTCTAACCACTGAGCCACAGGCCTCCACAAAACTCTCAAGATGACATAATGACCCACTAGTAAGGACTGGATCGATCATAGGGTTTAACCAGAAGGTTTGAACCAGAATTTTAACCAGAAGGTTAAAATTGTGGTTAATGTTATATAGAGCAACTTCGGTGATATGCAATTATAATTGGGAAACCCTAGTAGAGGTTACCATTGTCAATGCTGCCATATTAAAACTTTGCTGAGAATTTGAGTCCTCTGAAGGTTGCAGGCTTAAATTCTGATTGGTGTTGAGATAGCATCATTTGGGGTGCTATATAATAATCTTTGCATTTGATATTGAGCCTTATCACGTCTTTGACACGTCTCAAAGCACTTCACAGAATATACTGTAAAGTATGGTGACTGTTTGGTAAAGTATGGTCTCTACCCACTCCTTGCTCCCTCCCTTCCCTCTCCTCACCCTGACCATTTCCCCCCTTGCTCGGGTCCTGACCCAACTGTCCAGTGCCTTGGGACGTCCTCCCAACTTGAAAGGCACTCTATAAATGGAATCTTGTTGTTGTTGTTGTTGACTGTATATTTTGTGGGAGAAACTCAGCAGCACGGCAGTGTCCCACAAACAGTCATGGATTGAGTGACCAAATTGTTATTGAAGGAATTAATACCCCCGGAAAAGCGATCTGCCAATCGACTAACAACGGGTTCCTACTTACCGCTAGGTAAACAGAGGTGTGTGGAGTAAGGAAACTTGCCCAATGTTTCAGCCTGCCCGGGAATCGAGCCCAGGTCCTCTCGCTTGCGAGGTAAGCACTCTAACCACTAAGCTACAGAACTCCAAATATTCAGTTAGAAAAGGAAAAAGCAACTATTAGAAAAGAAAATAATTAAAAATTCACTCATAGTTCTAACTTGTCCCAGTTTACTTACAGAATTATGCTGTACATAATTTTGATAATGTGGCAATTCATTGGCACAAATACATTTCAATATACAAAAAAAATTTTGGAATATTTTGTGGTGAAACTAAAAATTGCTTCGAAAGCCTAGAAACGGTTCTCATTTCATAGCTATTACCGCTTCTCAACTTGCGTCATTCACAAGATTATAAAACCACAAGATAGGTTTGGATGATGAAGCTCCTTTGGTATATTTAATCTCAACCTTTCCGGATTCCTACTGCAGCATCAAGCTGCTTCATAAATGAGTCCAGTGCCATCCTTCCTGGTAACCCATTCCACTCTCTTCTGCGTCTCTCAATATCTAAAGTATGATTTGTATTCAAAGAATATATTAGTATAGAGGGGTTTATTATCTGGTTTAATTTGGTTTAACTGCTATGCTTTTTACTGTGTTTTGAGCAATTCAGTAAATTATACTGAATTGACCAAAAAACAAAAGGAATCCAAAATAAGCAAGATTAATTACAACCTTAGGCTTTGTTTTAAATGAATGCAATTGGTTAGCAGAATAACTATTAGTGATTACCAATGATAAGCAACACACTGCAATATTTAGCGACTATTATTTTACACACTAAATTTAAAACAGAACTGACTTCACGCTTAATTTTATTTTTCAAGTTCATCATAATGATGAATTGGGTGATTGCACAGTGTAGAATATATTACATAGCCTAACCATTTTTATTTCCTTTGATAATTTTCTTTGTTTAGTCTGAATCTATCAGCATTGTTCTTTGTATAAATGCACACATCAGCATCAATTTGGTTAGAACATTTCATGTGGTAGTATATTTTTTCATATGTGTAATGCATTTCGTGTAAACCCAGAACAGGCAAATCAAATGCCACGATTATAAGATGACTGAGCTAAAGCTAACTCGACAGTAACTAGTTTATGTTTATAATTCATTGCAGAATAGAGCGCCACCTAGTGCAATGGATTCTTGCTGTGTTATGCATTCAAAGGGGAACTGGATTAATTCCTGATTCGGCAAATAGACGGGATATAGATTTAGATGAGGAAAAACAAAGTAAAGCAGATAGTGGAGTAAACAGGATAAACTAATGAACTTTTTTCTATTCATACATTTTATGTTATTATGAATCTGACTGGAAAATTCAATATGTTTACTTCCTCGTGAGATCATACCAGTGCTGCAGTTGGCTATCAGGCAGCAGTAACATCTCATATGTACTCATTAAGAATATCATGTTTATTATTTGTCTTCTACATTGTTGTCTTCTAATTGCTGTGCAAATTTGCTGTGAGGAATGAGTATGCCTTATTACAATCATGGACCTTGTTTGCATGTTTTAATATTTATCATTAATTGGAAAAAAAAATGATATTGAAAGAACAAATGTAATACTGGTTTCGCTTAATGCTATAAAGAGACACTGGGATATACACACATATATATATATATATATGCATATAAATCTTCTTATTCGTTATGCAGGCGTAACTGTGGCTTTTTACTAGCAATAACCATATTAGACTTTCACAGACACACATTGCTGAGCCTTCTCTGACTCGCTTTCTGCGAGTCCTTTACTTAGCTTAAATAATATAGCAAAATATAACAAGAGCTCAAATGTAAACTAAGCGTTTCAATACATTGCAGTGATGTATAAACAAGACGGACATCCTATTTAATACAATTTCGAGCCCCCAAAAACTTCAATAATGAGCCATTTCTAGAAATAGGAGGCTGAGTAAAAATATAAAATCGATTGATTTTTTTTTTGGGGGGGGAGGAGAAGAAGGGATAGAATAGCAATTAAGTGTTGGCGAATGCAACGTTGTGGGTTTAGTTATAGTAAATTCCAGCAAATTCGTGTTTTGTTCTGGCACTGACTGCATTTGAGGACAGAAGCCCAGGCAGAGGCACAGCCTCCACTCCATTAACAGCATTATTTTGTTAATTGTAGGTTTCCTACTGCATTTGGACCCAAGATTGAGATTGCAGCTGCATAGACAGACCGGATCTGGGTTTTGCCAACCTTCACCACCGAGAATATTGTCCTTCGAAGAATGAACGATCACAATCTTATGTTGAAGCAGACAAAAAAACAAATCTGGCTTTCCCACGTACCGAGTGGTAAAACAGTGAAATAGATGCTCTTTTGAAACACATGTTCAGCCTGACCAGCTCTGAGTACGTACCTAAATGTCTTTAGATATGATAAAACGCAAAAAAACAACAAAAAAAGTTTACTTATTTTAATATTCCTGAGCGAGAGAAGTTGAAGCATTTTTTTTGAAGAGAGAGAGAGAGAGAGCTGCTGATGCACCCCCCCCCCAAAAAAAAAAAGCAGAGAAAAGCCTTGACCTGCACCCCTTTGCACTGCTCTGTTACCTGCATCTACCTGTGGGGGTAAAGCTTTTATTTTACAACGCGTGTCTTGAGGATGATTTTATGTCGGAAAACTTTATGTGCCCTCCAGCACTTTTGTTTGCTGAAACACCCTCCCTCTCTCCCCCAACCCTCCCCACCCCCCCCCCCCCCCCAAATAAACAAATAAATAAATAAATAAATAAATAAAAATGAATATTTTTTTTATAAAAGTTAAAAGTCATGAAAGAGGAGGGAGAAACAAACGTGTGTGTGTGAGTGTGAGTGAGTGAGTGTGAGTGTGTGTGCGTGAGTGAGTGTGCAAAGAGTTACAAGTGCTGGTTAATAGCAATGACCAGCCTTGAGAGCCAGTCTGGGCTGTGAGATCTGCTCAGGTTGGTTTGAGGGTCTGTGTGCATTTAGCAGCAGGACAGAGAGAGAGTGAGTGTGTGAGAGAGAGAGAGTGAGAGAGTGAGTGTGAGAGAAAGAGTGAGTGTGAGAGAGAGTGAGTGAGAGAGAGAGTGAGTGTGAGTGTGAGAGAGAGTGAGTGAGAGAGAGAGTGAGTGTGTGAGAGTGAGTGAGTGTGAGTGTGAGAGAGAGTGAGTGTGAGAGAAAGAGTGAGTGTGAGAGAGAGAGTGAGTGAGAGAGAGTGAGTGAGTGAGAGAGAGAGTGTGAGAGAGAGTGAGTGAGAGAGAGAGTGTGAGAGAGAGAGTGAGTGAGAGTGTGAGTGTGAGAGAGTGAGTGTGAGAGAAAGAGTGAGTGAGAGTGAGTGAGAGAGAGTGAGTGTGAGAGTGTGAGAGAGAGTGATTGTGAGAGAGAGTGAGAGAGAGAGAGTGTGTGAAAGAGAGTGTGAGTGAGTGTGAGAGAGAGTCAGTGTGAGAGAGTGTGTGAGAGTGAGAGAGAGAGTAAGTGAGAGAGAGAGAGAGAGGGAGAGAGAGGGAGGGAGAGAGAGAGTGAGTGTGAGCGAGAGAGAGAGAGAGAGAGAGAGAGAGAGTATGAGAGACCAGGTTCGGGAACATCGCATCGCCCCCAAAAAAAAAAAAAAAAAACAAAAAAAAAAAAAAAAAAAAAAAAAAAAAATAAATAAAAATCAAAATCAAAAAAAAATCAAAATCAAAATCAAACAAAAGGGCAACACCCACCGATCGTGGTGATGACGGTGATGGCGAAGTAGAAAGATCCCGCGAATTTCCACTGCACCCCGGCTTTGTGCGGCTTGAGGCTCAGCACCACCTGCTCGAGCTTCTCGTAGTTGTGTTCGCTCAGGTTGTACTTGGCCATGAGCCTGGCCCGGCTCTCCTCCAGCCGCCGCCTCTCAGAGGTCTCCTGCTTGGACTCCAGGGCGTCGAAGACGGCGGCGCCCACCAGCAGGTAGGTGAAGGTGCACACGATGAGGGCGAGGGTGCGCACGTTCTGGCGCTTCATGGCGCTGCTCCGGGAGTGGTGGGACTCATGGCTGCTCGGAGACAGAGTGAGGCGGAGAGAGGGGGGGAGAGAGGGAGAGAGGGAGGGAGGGAGGGAGGGCACCCGCCACACACACACACACACACACACACTCCGCTCTCTGCGCTCTCGCTCTCGCTCTGCAGTCGGGAGCTCTCCTTCAGCACCGCGCGCCCCGCCTCCCCGCTCCGCCGCTGCCCACACCGGGGGAGAGGGGCTCCGGCAGTCTGACTCACACCCACCGCAGCTGTGCAAACCCCTCAGCTCCCTCCCCCTCCCTCCACCCCTCCCTCCCCTCCCTCCACCCTCTCCTCCCTCTCCCTCCACCCCTCCCTCCCCCTCCTCCACCCCTCCCTCCCTCTCACTCCACCCCTCCCTCCCTCCCTCCACCGCTCCCTCCCTCCCTCCCTCCCTCTCCCTCCACCCCTCCCTCCACCCCTCCCTCCCTCTCCCTCCACCCCTCCCTCTCCCTCCACCCCTCCCTCCCTCCTTCTCCCTCCCTCGTGTGCCTTTCTCTTGCACGATGCACAGATGCACAGAGCAACTATTGGGTTTTATTTGCAATACTGATTCATGTCACCCCCCCCACCCTCACCCTCACCCTCACCCTCTACATTGCAAACAAAAAAGACAGATCTAATACACTGACAGCCTCAAAGTCCACCGTCCCCGCCCCCCCCCCCACACACACACACACACCCCTCACCGAATGCATGTTTATACCAGTTTGTTTTTTTGAGTACTGCACCGCTTTGAATGAAATGAACAGCAAAATGCCATCAGCTCTCTCCAATAGCAATTGTGTGGAATTGATCAGGCTGTGGGGGGGGGGGGGTCGGAGATTGTAATCCGAGTAAAGTGCGGGTTCATTAACCAGGGAACATGTGCAATGTCTTACAGTCAGTCCTGAGTGATATAAACATCTATTGATGTAATGATGCTTCTCAGCTAAAGCTGTGTGACCAGAGTGGAGGAGCGGGTAATATACACACACACACACATATATATATACACACTGTACTGTTCCAGCTGTTCTTCAGCACCGCCGAGTCTCTGGTCTTTGTTCATCAGGGGATCATCACAGACTGTGCAAAGCAGGGACTTAAATACACCCTTATGCACCTTAATAATAATAATAATGATCCTTGCATTTAATATAGCGCTTTTCACGTCGGGAGGACGTCCCAAAGCGCTTCACATAACACACTGTAAAGTGAATTCACCTTAAGATCCATTTGTGTGATAAAAGCACCTGTGCTTTACTCAAGTGTGGATGGAAATGGTTATATTGGGCAGGTCTGAGCACCATTTAAGATCAGTCGTTTGTAATTCCCCCCCCTCCCCCCCCCCCCCCCCCCCAAATTAATTAATTAATTAATTGATTCATTAAATAAATGCAGTGATTTTTAAAACCACTCGCGAGATGTTCTCTCCGCAGGTTCATAAACCTTGGCCTGCTCGGGATTAGAATGGGGTCATTTCATTATAAGCGCAGAGAATGGACATTTCATCGACCTGTGAATGATAGTAGCGTTAACCTCTGCAGATAACATAAGGCTTTCATTCTTCAGTCATATATTGAAGTATAAAGCTTTCAGGATGTCCTGTAGCTCAGTGGTTGGAGCACCCGCCTCGCAAGCAATTGATCTGCATTTGTGGGCAAAACGTGGCAGCCAATTGCGCACAGCAGTGTCCCACAAACAGTCGTGGATTGAAGTGACCAATTCATTATTGTTTTTCTTGAGGGATTATTATCAGGCATGTGGAGTAAGGAAACTTGCCTACGGTTTTGCCCTGCCGGGAATCGAACCCAGGTTTCGCGCTTGCGAGGCGAGTGCTTTAACCACTGAGCTGCAGATCTCCACATGATGAGTTTGATTGGCCTGAAGCATTGTAATTGCAACACTTGGACAGAATGCTTTATTCAACAACATAGATTAATATTATTTCTCAATTTATCTTCAAAACAAGTGAATACGTCTTGTTGGTAATTACACATCTGGCAAGCATACTTTCGTTTATTTTCTCTGTGAGATGCCTACTTCCCCCTCCCCCCCACCCCCTCCAAAAATGGTAACTTAGTTTCACCACCTTCCATAAACTTGCAGGATTGTGCATTTCAGTTTCCTTCCAATGTGTCTGTTTAGCTGTCTTACCTTTGGCAACTGGCCAATTATTTTAATAGTCATTTATTTTTGTAATTATTAGGTCTAATTTACAGTATTTCTTAGCAGGGTTCATTAATAAAGAATGCAATTTGAATTCAATACAACCCATGAGCCTTTTTTCGAGTGGTAGACTATATTGGAGTGGAATTCCCATGAGTCAGCATGATGTGTGTGTTTAGTAATGGAAGGAGTCCCCATTTGCACAACTCAGGTTCCTTATTAAGGAATCCTATTAATATTGCATTTTAGATGACAAATTATTATTTCATAAACATTCTTAATTTAGAATATGCATAAATGGGACCAAACCTTTATTGGATCAAAGCTCAATTTGGTTAATAAATAATTATACCTGCCCCTGGAATTTACATACTTTGTCTCGGAAACAACTGAATGGTTTATATCAGTATTAAGGTCATCACTATTAAAGATAGGTCAGTACCGATCTGTCAATTACCTCTGCTCAGCAGACTCTGACCTGCTCCCTGCTCTCCCGCATGACCATCAGGGGTCAGGAATCAGAATTCAGTCTCTCTGCCCCCACTTTTTGGAACTCCATTCCACAGTCGCTTCACCTCGTCCCCTCCCTTGCTTCCTTTAAGGCCTGACTCAAGACCCTCCTAACCCCATCTTCCATCCCCTCCGCCCCTCCTGATCCCAACCCCCAGCCTGGGAGAAAAGCCTTGACTGTCCAGTGCCTTGGGGTCTCTTCCTGATGTGTAAATGTTGTTGTTGCTCTTGTTGTTAATCTCACTCTTCTTTGCAAAGTAAACACTTTGGAAATTATTGCATTATTTTAATCCACTGACCTACCTTAACACTGAGATGTTACTAATTAATGTCCCTGAAAACACACTGCTAAATTGCTTTATTGAAATCATTTTTAAAACCAAAAAAACCCTTAGGATATCAATAATTTTGATTAAAATTTATTCTGAAAATCTATTACTCTTTGGGAAATAGCATTTTTTTCACTGCTCTCTAGTGACCCAAGAAGGCAATATATTCTGCCTGAATCTGGCAAGAAATGGTGAACGTTTGTGGATGCATGTTGCAGTGCCATCTGCTGTGAGTGCCTGTAGTCTGCATTCATGGTAAAGTTGAATGTGTCCTTTTGGAAGAAGTAATTTTACTGGCAACTCACCACCAGAGAAAGCACTTTCCAGCATAAACTTTTCTGCAGGAATATTTTTAGTATACATTTTTAGATACATTTTTAAAATTTCTTTTGTAAAAATATCACTTTATACTATATTTTGTGAAGCGCTTTGAGAGTCACAACGATGTGATAAGGCGCGATATCAAATGCAATGCTGATGCAAGGATCACAGACTGTGGCACAATAGCGAAGAGATGTTTAAGTGGGGATGTAATAGAGGTGTTTAAAATTGTAAAAGGGTTCAATAATATTAACATAAATAGGCTGTTTCCATTAGTTGGGGAGTCCATAACCAGGGCACACATGTATAAGCTAGCGACTAGGGGATCTAAAAGAGAATTTAGGAGGCTCTGCTACTTCATGCAGAGGGTAATAAGATTGTGGAACTTGCTCCCTGAAGTGGTAGTTAAATCAGATAGTGTAGATGCATTCAAGAGGAAGCTCGACCTTCACACAAGTGAGAGGGGAATAGAAGGGTAATGGAGGGAGTAAGGAATGGATAAAGACTTGAATAAACATCTCTGGAATTACCATGAATAAGTAGGATGCATGGAAATCACAGTTTGATTTGGATTTTTTTTTACACATGGTGACGGGTTTCTACGTGTGTCAAGACACCCAGCTGACCAAAGAAAAATTAATGACCAATTTTATTTTTCAGCGGATTATTGGCCAGGACAACAGGAGGAACTCACTTCCCTTTTCAAGCTGGCCATGGGATCTTTAACATCTGAATAGGCAGATAGGTCTTTGGTTTAATGTTTCATCTGAGGAACAGCACCTCTGACAATGCAACATACCTCCAGCATTGGAGTGTCAGCCAAGTATGTGAGATCAGATTCCAATGTGGGATTTGAATCTACAACCTTCTGATTCAAAGGCAAGAGTGCTCCACTACAAACTGAGCCAGGTTAGCATACTGCAAAAGTAAAATGAATTGACCAAAGACATCTCGTAGTCTTTAGACTGGGGTGAAGCTTATTACTGTGGCAGAGCAGAATTGCCTCAACTCTGAATCCAATTGATGGTCTGAAACTAGAATGCTTGATGCTGGTAATGAATGCGAAAAATGGGCAAGTGGTCCATTTCCACGTGCTAACTTGTTCAAAATCTACAATTCCTACATACAGAACTTTCAGGTATAGTGGAAAATCATTCCAAATATTAACTGTTCCATATTATTCTTATTCTGAATGTCTGATATTTTGTAATAACAATGGAAGAGATGTATAGCTTTTCTGTTGTGAACAACAAACACATTGCATTTATGTAGTAACCACAATAAAAAAGTAACAACACAACTTGCATTTATATAGCCCCTTCATACAGGTTAGCATCTTGGAGTGCTTAACGTATTGAATGAATGAAGGCAAATAACCATAAATCATTGAATTAACAAAAGCAAATAATAAAAACATTAATAAATAAAACATTGATATTTTTGTTTACCGTGATATAAGGTCAAATATATCAGGTATTCGGGTAGCTTTGACAATATGACAGTATAATGTTATATTTGATAAGTGAGGTCAATGATAAAACGTACAGGTTAAAACTATAATGTAAGTTCATTTTTGGAATCTATCATTTTTTCATATGTAAATTAGGTATGATTACTTTCAAAATTATCTTTTAATTACATGATTAAGCATGCCAGGGTTCAGATAG